ATTATTGGTTTTATGGAAGAATCAAGCACCTAGCTATCTTACTAACATCACCTAAGGCCCGTCTTTGTTTCAGGGTGACCATAAAATGTTACAAAATCTTATCACAGCTATACTCAATTATCTTGACTATACATTTTACTTTGGGCTTGAGACCATATAAGCCCACAATAATTATTTTCTTCCTATTATATGGTAAATTATTTGGTGAGTGACAGTACAAAGTTAAAAAAAAAAGATAGTCACACATTTCAAACATAGCAGCTTCCTGAAATTATTGCCTGTGCCATCCCCTAATTGCTTCAGTGATTATGCTGCTATACTTCTTCAATTAAGCCGTTCATAGAAAATCCACCTCTAGTTCTTCATCACTGGTAATGAACTATTGCAGGATTGAATATAATACTTTTCCTGGGGCCACATGGAAAAATATATGAATGGGTGGTGATATTAAGATGGTGCATATTGAGGAAATTAGGGAAGGGGAAATGAAAAAAAGGTTAAAAATATAGAACTTTTTTCCTCCTTCTTGTATATTCTTACTCAAAGACAAAGCAAAAGGGTATGGATATTGAAGTTTGGTATAAAGATTCATTTACACTGATAGTGTTACAGCTAAGAGAGACTCATAAGAGCCCTCCAGCTCTTACAAAATCAATATTTCCAGGTTTAGGAGAGAAAGTTTATGAGCCATTGAGTAGTATGGTCAGTCAGACCACATAGATAATGACTTACTAGATTTAGGTCAGAGTGTGCAGCCTAAGCAGTGCCTTCCTTTTTCAAGGGGAGACACTGGAATCTTAAGAGTAGATAACAAGCCCTCGTGGTACCTGCTGAGATGACATGAATAAAACCCAGGTACATTCAGGCTGTGAAAATCTACCAACAATCACAATATTGCTATGAGAGGGCAGCTATTTCAGAGGTGAATGTTCCAAAACCTGATTTATAATGCTGGATAACGAATGATTGGCTTCTTCGAAATTCACACGCAGGAATTAGCTGAACAGCTTGAAGTTCTAGGTGGAAGACTCAGGAATTAAAACAGAAATCTGGCTAGGCATAAATGACTGGTAACCTTAATTCAGGCCCAAATTATGTTGGGACTGAGGGAATTACCTGAATACAAATTCAACCATAATTCTAGTACTTACAGTTGAAAAAGAAAGATGAGTCTACTTAAAAGAAAAAGAAAATCTGAAATTAGACTCCTGGGGAAGTCAAACTGTGAGGCAACAAAATCAGTCATAATTCAAGGTCATCTGGCCAATCAGGCACAACATAGTTCCAAGAGTGTCCAAGAGTGTTCCAGCACATTAGTTTTTGGATTGAGAATCCCCAAAAGAACTTGAAGAGAGTCTAATATAAGATCATTAAAATTTAAGAAAAAAAATCCTGTTTAGATACTCAAAGATGTATGTATATGGTCATAAAATAATTTCATTAAATGATAGTGGCTTCACAAAAGGGACCTGATCCTAACACAGTAACCTCAAGAGGACAACGCAGGACTCCAGTGACTTTTGTTAGAGTGAAAACAAATCAAGGAATAAGGAACCCCCAAAACCAATTCAAGATAGAGACCAGAGAGCTAAGCGGATGTTCATAACATAAGACTTAACTTTTCATGAACCACTCAAGGCAAATAGTTTTAGAAACTTAAGAGTTATATTGAAAAATGAAATGAATCTATTGATTTCAGGAGTTAGAGGAAGGAATTTTCAAAACATTTAGGTAGAATCTAGTATTGAAGATCATCATCTTAATTGTTACAAGCAATTGCAGCTATAGGAATTTTTACTAAAATATTACCTTACCAATTGAGTTCAAAAATCTATAGTTGAGTGCCTTCTATATCCGGTACATTGTACTAAAGTCCTATAGGCACTGCAATGCTGCCTGAACTTTTCAGACATACTGTAATTAGAAAACAGTAGAGTTTGGAATAATGAAAGAGATTATACAGCAGAACGTCTGGCATATTAAATATTTTAAAACTCTAGGAAGAATTAGATATAACAAAAATAAAAGTATCAAAACTCACTTCACAAAAATATTCCTGTATTTTGAAAATCAAACTTGATGGTCAATTTTTATAAGATATCACATCTATCTTAAGAATATATGAATTGTACAATGTGAGATGCTTTTAGTTTAACACTTGAATCACAAATAAATCCAGTCCTTTAAAACCTATATATTTAAGTTATATTTCAAAAAAATTCTCTGAGATTATGTAAAGTTCCACAACTAAAAAGATTCCAAAATGGGTCACTGTTTTGATACTTTTGGACACCAAATATTTCTCTAAGCAATGCAGAATGGAAACATTCAGAATATTATTATTGCAAATATAATTAGGTCCCTTATGAAAATGGGTGATTTTCTTCTATAGTAGTATCTACTTAATACATTTCCTAACATACAAATCTCTTTGATTAGTTCTTTTTTCACCTCAGCAGTGAAAGATAAACTTATTGGATAACCTGCTTGAATATTCTTACATCTACTCCCCATTACACTCCTTGGGATTTAATTCTATATTGTCACTATTGAATTCCAGTACTCCACAGTCTTCATATGTGACAGATTCCTCTAGAAAATGAAAAATCTAGTTTCTACATATATGCACATATGTGTATATGTGTACCCACAAAGTATAGTGTGTGTGTGTATATATATATATATATATACAGATATATATATATATACTCACATATATACACACATACACTTTTTATGTATATGACGTATATTTGTATGACATGCATAAATTTCACTTAGTAATGCTTATAATTCTACAAAGTGAAGGAGAATGTATTTGTGAAAAATTTCGGTGTTGCTATTATTTTTAATAAGCAGATTCACTGCTTTCCCCTTCCATTGATGATAAGCTTCCCTATGGAAAAACGACTTTGCCATCACCAATATAAACATGCTAGCACATTTCTTGAAATAGAATTCCTTGTATCCATCAATGACAAAATGTGTAGGAAATTTGTTTCATAGCTCAGATAATTTCTGTGTCATCCTGACTTTTATGTCTCCAGGTTCTTTGATTCTGTTCTTCAGATTGCTTTGATTATTCCTGTAAGCTTATTGCATCTCAGTAATGAATTCAGTTTCTCAGGCTCAAGAGATCCATTCTTATAACCTTTTTTCATCTTATCTTAATTCCCTGGGGGTTGACTACATTTATTCATTGCTAAGGTATTATCAGGGGGGTTTCACCTTTTCCAAGGTATATCAAGATATGCATTTTATGAGATGTCGACAATAGTAATGGGAATAACTGTTATTTTACTACTTCAGAGCATGCATGGAGATTATACTGTATTTCTAATTATTATTCTGAGTGTAACCTTTGATTCAAATATTTCCTTTTTATTTCACCATGTTCTTTTAGATATATAAACTGGGTTAATGTTCTGCTCTATGGTTTAATCCATGTAAATCAAACTTCAGTTAGCTCTGATGATGAAACACACCTTACTTTCTCACCTAGTCTCTTTCCTTTTGTTAGCTCTCTGTACTTTGGTCCCATCAGAAGGTGAGCAAGATAAGGATTAAAACTGCTGCTTATTTAATATAGTTCATTGGAAACTCTGATCAACCTTTGGTGAGTATTTGAATTAATTGTCTATTCAAAAAGTACATTTGAAAGTGATCAAATATACTCCAACTGATTACTCAAGCACTGTTTCTCTTTTCCATTAATACTTTATCTTCAGAACTGTAACACCTTAGTATATTAAATTTAGAAATAATTATTTTTTATTATTACTTTAATATCAACTGTTATTTGGGCAGTCAGCACTTCCAATTCCATGAATCCTAAATATATAATAATTTACAAGTTTTATTCATTTTCTTAAAACTGATGCTTAGATACATAGTATAACATAACTGGTAAAATGGAATTTTTTTTCAGACCACATTATAGGTTATAGTGACTCTTCCCTTCAAAACTAAAAAGAAAATTATACTTGTTACATTTTGTTTTGCTTCATAATTTTAAGAAACATTGTAAAACACACATACAAGAATTTGAGGAGATAAACCACAGATTAGAAGAAAATATTTAGACTATTACTCAAGATATAAAAACATTCTAAAAGTTCAAAATAAGAAAACAAACAGCCCAATTTAAAAATGGACAAAATATTTGAACAACTACTTTTCCAAAGAGGATGAATACATGTCAAGTAAGCATATGAAAAGCCGCTCAACATCATATGTCATTAGCAAATTAAAACAACAAGATACTACTACATGCATGTTACAGGGGCAAAACTCCAAAATACTGACTACAGCAAATGCTGGAGAGCATTTAGGGTGGCAGAGATCCTCACTCCTTACCAGTGGGAAGGCAGAAGGGTGCAGCCATATTGGACGACAGTTCAGCAGTTTCTAATAAAATTAAATCTATTCTCCCTACAAGATTCAAAACTCTTACTCCTCAGTATTTATCCAAAAGAGACAAAAACCTATGTTCACACAAAGTCCTGTGTATGGTTTACATCAGCTTTACTTATAATTGTCAAAATTTGGAAGCAACCAAGATTTCCTTTGCTAGGTGAATGGATAATTAAACTGTGACAAATCAAGCAATGGAATATTATTCAATTCTATGTAGAAATTAGCAATCAAGCCCTGAAAAAACCCTGAGAAAACTTGAAAGTACATTACTAAGTGAAAGAAGCTAATTTGGAAAGCCCACGTATTACAAGTTGCATCTATATGATTAAGTGGAACAGGCAAAAAAAAAAAAAAAAAAAAAAAAAAAAAAAAAAAAAAAAAAGGCCAGTGGTTCCCATCGAGTAGCTGGTATTCTCATAAGACAAACAACCAGGTGAAAAGAGACACGAGGGGAAAATACCACATTACACAAAGGCAGACTTTAGAGCAGTGCATCTGGAAGCTGAGGAACAGCAAAAGCTTCAGCAGACAACCAGAAGTCAGGGTGAGGCAAGAAAAGATTCCCTAAATGTTAGAGAAGAGACCTGGTCCTGCTGACACTGTTGACACCTCAGTTTTGGGCATTTGTCTTCCAGAATTGTGAGACATTGTGATTTTGTTGTTTTGTGCCACCGAGTTTCTGATTCTTGGTATGGCTGCCTAGGAGATCAATGTAAGCTCCCAGGCAGTCAGAAGTTTCTAATGTCAGGTTATAGGTTCTTGAGGATTACCATCTTTAGAACTCTGCCCATTGCTATATAATCTGCCATTTGATTTTGTCATAGTAGATGACAGAAGCCACATTCTGGGCTTGTTGTAGACATTTGTTCCTGTGGTGAGCAAATGACTGCAGCTTCAAAAGAAAAAAAAAAAGGGTGGGGAGGAATCCTCAATATTTCCATGAGTAATAACTAACATTTATAAAGGGCTTATTGTGAGCAAATCATTCTTTTAGATTTTTCTTCTATCATCTCATTCAACCTTCAAAAACCCCTGAACTTGATGCAAATTAAGGAGATAATTATGGTTTTATTTCCATTTTATAGATTAGAAAACTTAAGATCAATAAATTATAACTTGCAATGGTAATCATTTAGGACTGTAGAGCAGAGTTCTCAATGTTTACGTTACACAATTTTTATGTTATTTTTTCTATGCCCTCTGCACTGAAAGGTATGTTCCCTAAAGGCAGAATTTTTTGTCCCCTTTATTCATTGCTACAGTCTCAATGCCTGTTTCAGTTCTTCAGGTAAAGTTAGTTCTCAATATTCAAGGAAAGAATCCATAAATGCCTATGTAAATTTATAGTCTTCGAATGAATTTCTAAAATGCTTCATTGTAAGTAAAATTTTAGAGGTAGACATGTTTTCCAAAGTATCACTGAGTCTGTACATTCCACAATTTTACTTCATGTTCAAGATCTACTCTGGATGAAAGAATTGGACTCAAGTTGTGTAATAGTAACTTGCCATCTGTCTGACCTTCAAAATTCTTAAATTTATGACTTATTTTTTGCTCTTCAATGAGAACATGTATTCTGCAGGGTTATAGAAGTTAAATGAAATAGTTGTATATAGAAGTACTTATAAATTTTAAAGTAACTTATACTGTAGGAAGCTACCCATGAATTACTTGAGGGTCTTACCAAGAAGACCCTCAAGTAATTCATGGATGCCTTCCCACATTATATACTGTTACTCAATATGTTTAAGGCATTCCTTTCTACTAATTTTATGAGGTATAGAATGTCCTTAGTTCCTTTCATGAACTACCCTGCATATGAGGCTTGCCTTTCTATGTAGAAGTATTTGTTCTATCTTAGACCCTCAGGATGATGTTATGAGGACTAGTTAAATAAAATTTCACTCATTCAAGAAACTTTATCTCTGAATGCAATTGTATATCTGCATAGTAGAGTACTGGAAAATGAATTGACATCCCAGCTGGGGGAATTCTATAATAGTAACATCTTTGTGCTATGCAACAGCCAAATTCAGATTTATCCCTTTCTCTTTTCTGACTAAAGAAAAACTCTCACAAATAAATAGCTGGCTAGAGTATTCTGTGAAATATGAGAATTAGCTGCTATTTTATAGATTATGATTGGAATGGGGACTAGGTAACTAACCCTATTCTCTAGAATGTTTTATTTTGAAGATTTTAATGTAACCAAGTAAGGCATAGTCATAGAGAACATACTAATATAGAATTAATATAATAGAATTTAAATTATTCCTAATTATACCCAAATTGATTTAATATTAGTAATGATGTAGAGAGTAAAACTTTGGGTTCAAATTATGGCTAAACAAACCTTTGAGGTAGTCTTTGGTTTCCTATCCTGGCTATACAACCTTAGGCAAGTTAACTGCTATATTTGATAGGTTCCTAATGTTCTTAGTGTAAGCATAACAATACCTGACTTTCAGGAATTTTATAAAGATCATCTATACAAGTACATGTAAATGCTTCTCTCATAGTCACTTCTTCTATGGTTTAGATCAAAAGTGCCCCCCAGCCAGTGTTCTATGTGGTTAAAGGCTTGGTCCTCAGCATGGAATTATTGAGAGGTGGTGGTACCCTTATGAGGTAGAGCTTAGCAGGAGGTCCTCAGGTCACTGGGGGTATGCCACTTGAAGAGGATAGTAGGACATCAACCTCTTCCTCTCTTTTTCTTTGCTCTCTGGCTCACTGTGAGGTGGGTAGTTTTGCTCTATAACTAATGTGCTCCCACCATAATGAGCTGCATCTCTCCAGACCCAAAAGCAACAGGACCAACAAATCACCTTCTGGAATCTTCAAAACTATTAGCAAAAATAAACCTCTTATAAATTTGTAATCCCAGGTATTTTTATAGTGATAGAAAGTTGACTAGCAGAGTACTCTATAGAATGCCTTTCCTTGCACCCTATGTTACTACTTCATTTTCTTTTACCATTACATGTTAAATTTTAATTGTCCATAGATTGTAGACACATTAGTAGACACTGCTTTAGAATAAAGAAGAAATATAACAAGATAATTTTACCTTCCCTAAATTTATCTTGGCTACACCCCGCAACCATTTTTGAACCCCATGGCTCACACCTGCTAGGCAAGCACTCTACACAGAACTACATGCCCAGCAGATTTTTAAAATTTTTTATATTGTACAAGGTTTTGCTAATTTACCCATGCTGGCCTCTAATTTGAAATCCTCCTGCCTCAGCCTCTGAGTAGCTGGGTTTACATGAGCCCAATTCTTTTAATGACATATTTTCCAGGTAAACATTTATTATAAGTACTTTTGCACATAATCACCTAATTTCATTCTACAAGGAATATATCTTCTAAAAATAGAGACAAAGAAATTTTAAAATTTTGATAAGAGAAACTGGCAGCAAACAGAACAAGAAGATTATGAGTATAGAGTGCTATTTCAGTAAAGAGATGATACTTCTAGAAGAGATAAAAGAGCATCTGCTAGCTTATCTTTCAGTTCCACACCTCAGTTCCTTTTAACATGTGAAACAGATTCTAGGAATTCAGATCATAAACACCAAAGTCTTTCACAAGATAAATGTCCAATTCTCTTGTTTTAAAACAAGTGGACAGTTCTGGGTTGCTATAGTGACCACACAGGTCATCAGGAATACAGCCTCCCACTACCTCTATGTTCTGCATTTAGAATTTTGTAGCATTGTAGTCCTAGACGACTGCTGGTTCCTAGAAATCCTATTTGAATTTCAAGTATGAGTGGGAAGAGAGAATGCAAAAATAGTGCATGTGTGAATTGTGTGGCAATTGTTTTAATACACTATCCTGAGAGTTCCACTCCATAACTTTCACTATTTTACTGTCCTCCTTGACATAAGAGAAGATGGAAGATACTCATCTAGCTAGGCACATTGATTCCGGAATAAAGGTGGAATTATATTACTCAGAAAGATGGCAGCATAGATCTTACAAAAGCAACAAGACTCTGCCTGAAGGGACCAATTTTTATTTACTGGAGTCTTGAGTTGTAGTCGACAGCTGCCTCTCCAGTCAGCGAAGTCGAGCACTATAGTTCATTGGTTCAGACTTCTCTGCATTGCTGTGATTTATTATTCTCTATCATTTAAGCTTCTTTAATGAAATTGACAGGAAAACTTCATTAACTTTCATTTAATTAACCTTATCTGATAATTAATAAAAAAATCTTCCTCTCTCCACTTATAATTTAATTACAGAGCTAGATAATAAAGCTCACTCTGATTTTATTATTTCAAACCAACATAATTGATTTTATTTAAAATAATATATGTTTAAAACTAAGCTATAATTTTCAGTATTTCTAGACTTTCAATTAATGATGTAAAATGTGTTTCCTTGTTTGATCCATATTACATTACTCACTAATCTACAATCTTTAGCTGAGAGACATTTTTATCTAATTCTATGGCTTGGAGGTGTACCCTAAATTCATATGTTAGATACTGAATTCTCAATGCAACAGCATGAGATCAGGGACCTAATAAAAGGTGATTGGATCAAGAGGGTGGAGTCCTCATGAATGGATTTATTTTTGGAAGTGAGTTTGTTATCTAATGTTATCACATTATACTTGCTCCACAAATGTATATTATTACTAGATATGTTGTACCTTGACATTTTTAGAGCCAGTTGCTACAAAAGAGAGACTGGCCCCTGATGCTTTATTTTTTATTATTTTTTAAACATTTATTTTATTCATTTTTATGTATTGCTGAGGATGGAATCCAAGGCCTCACAGGTGCTATGTGAGCCCTCTACCGCTGAGCCACATCCCCAGCCCAATGCTTTATTTCTTAACACACACTCACTTGCCTTTCCCTATGCTATGACACTGCAGAATGGTCTTTACCAGGTGCCAATAAAAGCTTTTCCTAACCTCCAAAATCATGAACCAAAAAAATCTGTTGTCTTTATGAAACATCCAATCTTGTAATTCATTATAGCAACAGAAAATGAACTAAGACATCTAATCAATAGTAATAACAAAAAGCAATATTAATAGCAGTAGTAAAGCTAGCATTTGCTGTGGCTTACTGCATGCCCAATATTTTATGATTAAATTTATAAAAAAAACTTAAAAGTGTATTATTTTATGATTGTTATGTGAGTGGGAAACTGAGGTTTGGAAATGTTAAGTGAACAACCCAGAGCCACATTTCTGGAGTTGGGGCTGGGTTCTAATTACAAGGGGATCTGTTATTTCTAACATATATAATTGACCCTGAGTCCTGATATCATCGAATCCTTACAACTCCAACATCACTCCTTTCAGGTTTCTTGTAATATTAAAAAAAAAAAAAAAAAAAAAGGTCCAGGCCACATTGCCATTTTGTCTTGTTAACTGTAAACATGTTAAAACTATAAACAATGGCTATGAAAAAATCTATTTTTGACAGTAGAAATACAAGATAAAATGTATTATTATAAAATGGTATAAGGCAAAACAGTTTTCTTCATGCATTTTATAAGCACTAAAGAAATATTGTCACATTTCTAAATTCTATTCACCAAGCCAAAAATAGAGATACACTTGACTATATTTGTGCTATGTTTTTTAAATTTGTTTGTAGTCAGTTTTGACAAGGCTACAGTTATTATTACTTATGCTTATCAACACCCATATACTTGTAATTAAAGCTTAATGATATTAACCAAGTATTTGT